GGTAGAGATGTTTTAAAATCTTATGAGCTTTGACCTTCATATGCGCAGAAACATAATTCCGACCGTCGCCTAAATTATTCTACGTCCTAAAAACATTACACCTATTATTCACAGTCTCTCTCGAGCTCTAGCGTAAACAAGCCTTTGATCCGATTACAAATATCATAATAAAATGCCCTATTCTTTATTATTTTAATTTAAACAATAAAAATATATATAACGAACGTTCGCCAGTTGACTTTATTGATGCCCGAGCGCCTTAGTTCATGTCTACTTGTAATGATGCACATGGTCTAGTTCTGAGTCAATATTTTCACAACGTGCTTATTAGAAGAATTATGGGGATACGCCACGCCTTTCGCGCATTTCGCGGCTGATCAGATATTAAAAGACCTCTACTACTGACTTTTTTTTATTTATAGTGTCTACAGTCATTGAAGCTTTTCACCTCCGAATTCTTTGAAACTGAACCGATCGACTTGAAGATAGTTAGAGAAAAGGTCACTGAACATTAGTGACACAGCACCGATTGACGCTTCCACCCTGTTGGGGGTTGACACCCCTTCTCGAGGGTGGACATTTTTTTTCTAAAATAACGCTGGAAATCGACAGAGAATCAAATTTTGCGTAAAAAATATTCGAAGAATTTTTTCGAGAAATCAATAATTTTTTAGTTATTCACGATTGAAAACTTGGAAATTTGAGTGAACGAATAACTCAAAAACTACGCATTTTATTAAAAAAAGTGTAATGAACAAAAATGTAGCTTATAAATAAACAAAGAAAATCGTTTTTTAAAAAGTGGTGTACGTCCTATACAAAGCGAAATATGGTTAGTGGAAGGGGATTCGAATCGATCTATTCCACGTCAAATAATGGAAAAAGGATTAATTTTACGTGTATAACGCTCCAGGAGTTTTTTGTAGTACTCAAAAAAACCTTCAAAATGAGCACTTCTAAAAGTTAATTAGAGCAAAATTCAAGGAGTTATCGTCAAAAACAGATAGGTTGCTCATATTTTTTAAGGAAAAATGAGCAGTAAACGCTGTACAATTTCCATCATAATTAAAATTAATCGTAGACCCTTTACAATTAGTTTTGTTTTAGTGTTTTTCATACGATCCTGAAGTTAGAGACCGGTTTAGAATGCATATTTTTTTAATAATGTACTGTTGTAAAAGTTGAAAACGTATTTTTCGTTATTCAAAAAAAATCGCCTTATTTATATAATAACTTTGAAACTATGAAAGATACGTAAAAAATGATAGATAACAAAAGTGTAGCTTTTTTTTCAACAAATATTTTGGTTTTCTTTATTCCTAAACCAAAGGAGATATCATTCATTATTAAAAAAAAAAATGCCTTATTTATTAACTCTGAAACTATGAAAGATACGTAAAAAATGATAGACAACAAAAATATAGCTTTTTTTTATTCATATACCATAAAAAATAAAGGAGCTATCGCCGCTTGAAGTATCCATTTTAGTGAAAAAACGTCCTGTCTCGAGCCCTTCGATATGCAAACGATCTTACAGCTCTTGAAATTATCTTTAAAATGCTTTTTTGTAGGATACTATAGCTTCAAAATTAACCGAGTTGTGGTAAAAAAACCAATGACATTTTTTCGGAGCAAAATAGACATTCTCATTTTTGGAGCAAAATGTTGGTAAAAGGGTAGTTTATAAGAGTTGAAAATGGCAAAAGTAAAATATTCTTTCATAAACAATATAAGGGAATTTTTATTTTAAATTATTGCAAAATTATAACGTTCCAAGAATTAAAACGTAATTTTTTATCATTTTTTTGTCACAGGGGTGACTTATAAGGGTTGAAAAGTGTTATGAGATACAAATTCTGTCATAAGCAATGAGGGAATTTTTATTTTAAATAATTGCACCGTTAAAGCATTCCAATTTAAAAAGTAATTTTTTATCATATTTGTCAATACAGGCGTGGTTTCTAGGGGTTGAAAGGGAAAAAATATTTTATTAGCTATAAGGCAACTTTTATTTTAAATAATTGCACTATTTAATCATTCCAAACCTTCAAAAAGTAATTTTTTATCATTATTTTTTGCATAGGGGTAGTTTTTAAGGGTTAAATAAAGGGTCGAAAAGATCAAATATATCATAAAACATGTTCGAGAACATGGAACATTATTTAATCTTTGTGCTTGAACAAGATTTTTATCAATAAAATGCTTAGAACTTAATTTTTTCAATTTTTTTCACTTAGGGGTAGTTTTTACCCCTAAAAAATAAAAAACGTCAATCGGGCTTATGTCACTTTTAAAGTTGAGCCTAAGATGAGCCTTATTCTAAATTTTCATGCAAATCCAGGCAGTTTCAAAGAATTCGCAGCTTACAGCTGATTTTCAGCTTCAATGACTGTACTATTAGGGCTCACTTTCAATGTTACAGGGAAAAGTATGTCGACAAACGGGTCATTTTTCGTTCTTTTTTGTATGTTTGTTGTTCCCCTGAATTTAGCAATGGTTTTTTGGAATAGACAAACTCGGATTCTTATGCTACAGAATATTTGGGATTTTTCTGTACCACAAAACGCCCAAGCCTTACTACTTTTACTGCTCTACCGCCCGGACTACGTATTTTTACTTCACTTACTCGGCTCGAAGGGTCTGCAACGCACGAAGGGATCACCGGTCATATCCTTCGGACAGGAGCAGACGGGTGTGAGTCCCCTAAGCTCGCAGTTGGCGCCGACGCCGCATGCGCCCTCGCACGGGCTCTTGCAGATGCCGTAGAAGCAGGCCGGTTTGTGACTGGGGCAGTCGACGTCTCCGTAACACTCGGGCTTGCAGGAAGAGTACGGGTTGCCGAAGTAATTCTGAAAAGTATAAAGTTGTTTTAAGGCATCACTTTAGTAGAGATTAATTGTTTTTATTTGACCAATTTGTTTTGGCGAAACGACCCACTCTTTATATACAGAGTGACTCGAATGAGCCTAGACCGTACCTTGGGACACTTGCACACGGCCCTGTGGTTGCTGATGGTCTCGCACTCGGCGCTGGTGCCGCACTGGGTCAGGCAGGGGTTCTGGCACTTGAATTCGATACATGCCAGGGTGGGCCCGCATTCGGAATCGCTATCGCACTCGTGTCTGCAGCCTGCCAAGGGGGAACCGTGGTATCCGGGGAGGCAGGTACAGGTGGGCACTTCGTTCCTGACCTCGCAGTTGGTGTTGGGGCCGCAGGGACTGGGGTGGCATAATTCCTCTGGAAGAGAGTCGCAGTTTTACTTTATCGTAATTCAAATAAATTCAGAACCTATCCAATGAAGTCAAAGAATGGTATTTCGATATTAGAAATCTACATACTCAAAAGATATCCAATAGTCTTGTATTAGTCCGGTCAAATTCAACTATTAGAATCGCGATATCTTAGGAATGGTGATTCTTAAAAAAAAAGTATTAGTACCATTTTTGTAGATAATTTTAAGATCTATAATTTTTGTCAGAGCTATTTTTTTGATAAAACTTACCGTTTTCGAGAAAAATCCAAAAACCTCAAATTTTGACCTTTGACTCCGAATAACTTTTTTAGCACAGATGGGACCGATGGGGACTTTTGACATTTTATTTCTAATGGTGTACCCAAGATCTCCACCAAAATTTAGCTCTGTCGGAATTTTCGTTAATTGAAATGTCTATTTTGACCGGACTATATGTGTTTATAGGCTATTGAATATGGGATTTTAAAAGGAACTATGACGTTCAAGATATTTAATTACATGAATCGTTCAAAAATGGTCATTTTAGATGAAAAAACTGCGGAGTGCGGGAATTAGAGGGTGGAAATTGAAGATAGGGGTGAAAATGCGCCCTTTTTAGTTTTTTAATTGTAGCTCGAAAACGAAGCAAAATTTCGCTATAGTTCATAGGAAAAATTATTTAGAGAATTGAATTTCCCATGGAAATAGCTTATTTAAAAAATTTAAAAGGAATATTTTATACAAAAAGATCGTTAATAAAAATCTGAAAAAAAGCAAAAAATTCGATTTTCTGATTTTTTTTATATTTTTGCCTCTAGTTTTTTTTTTGAGTAAAGATACAACAGTAGTACAGATACAAAGTAGATACAATTTTCTTCAAAACAAAAGGTTGTAAAGTATTTTTGGATGAAAATTGACTGATATATGGCCGCTCAAACTTAACCAATTTTTCGATTTTCGTCGCGTTTACCCTTATACGTTTTAATTCTCATTTTTTTTGCAAAAAAGGAAGGAAATAAGACGTTCAAGGATTTTCATCACATGACTTGTTCGAAGAGTCATTAAAAATTAAAAAACCGCGGGGTGCTATTAAATTTGAGGGTTGAAATTGAAGATAGGGGTGAAAATGCACTTTTGCAGTTTTTTAATTGTAGCACGAAAACGAAGCAAAATTTCGGTATAGTTCATAGGAAAAATTTTGTAGAGAATTGAATTTCTCATCGAAATAGCTTATTTAAAAAATGTAGATGGAAAATTTTAAGCAAAAAATCGTTATTAAACAAATTCAAAGAAAGCAAAAAATTAAATTTTTTGATTTTTTTTACTTTTTTAATAAAATAATTTAGTAAAAACTTGAGAATTTAAGTACAATAAAGTTTATTAATAATGTATATACAGTGTGTCCACGGATGGAGTTGACAAGAGGAGAAACTTTTTGTTTTTGACTTTATCGAAAAATGTCGCTCTTTATAAAAAGTTCTGCCCCTCGAAAAAATGAGACTCTCATACAAACATCTTAGATTAGACGTACAGGGTGCTCATAAATTAAAAAAACACGAAAATACTCGAGAGAAGTACCATTATTTATTATTTTGCACAACATTTTTATAAAACAAATCCGTTTATAACCTCAAATAATGTCAATGTCAAAAATTTCAATTTTTGAGGTGGGAAGTAGCTGATTTTAAAATTTGTATTAGGACATTATTTTTTTCTACAAGCAATACAAAAAAAAATAGAGGCAAAAAAGTAAAAAAAATCAGAAAATTGAATTTTTTGCTTTTTTTTCAGATTGTTTTTTTGCATAAAACTTTCCTTTCAATTCTCTAAATAATTTTTCCCTATGAATTATAAGGAAATTTTGCTTCGTTTTCGAGCTACAATTAAAAAACTGAAAGGGGTGCATTATCACTCTTATCTCCAATTTTCACTCTCTACTTTAATAGTACTCCGCGGCTTTTTCATCTAAAATTACCCTTTGAACGATTCATGCAATAAAATTGCTTGAACGTCATAGTTCCTTTTAACCCTGTTTTTTTTCGGATATATTCAATAGCCTATTATAATGTCACTAAATGGAAATGAAGAGTTTTGGATTTATTATTATCGTCATAGTTATAAAGCTTTCGTGAAGAAGTCACTCTAATCAATGGGGACAGACATCATCTTGGTTTTAATTTAGTAGATAAGCGTTATAATTTTACTAAGGCAGATTTTCCAGTGCTCACAATTATTTGTTGTTGATTGGTCATTTTTAGAATCCTACTTTGATGTCGAAGCTTAAACACTTTATAATCATTATTAAAATGGAAAAAAAATTTTTTTTGAGGTTTTCCCACATTTTTACCGCAAATAACGTTTAAATTGAGGAAAAAAAATTTTTCGAAATTTTTTTTGTTTTATTGGTTCCGGCCATTGAAGAAAACAAAATCCATCCAATAATTTCCAGCACGATTCGGCTTTTTCGTCCTATGCTTCTATTCATCAACTTTTAATTAAATTAAAATTAAAGTTGATGACCCAAACCAGATTTCGACCCCGATTTATACCGTTTTTTGAGACAAATTTCTGATTAACTTTTGTGCAGTCCGTAATCACTTAAAAAACAATTTCTTTCAAAACTACCTTCTTTTCTTCTCTGAAAAAAAATTCAAAATTTTAAGCTCAAAAAACGTGACCCTTAAATTTTTTTCAAAAGTTTGTTTGAAACAAAGAAACGGTTCTCTAGATCGAGATGAAACCTCAAAGAGTTCTTGTGGGTGTATCCAACTGTAAAAGTCATGCTTTACATTAGTCATTTCGTGAATATTTCTAATTTAGCCGTCAATTTTTAAAAAAACCATAAATTACCCTTTTTTTCCTGTTTTCTTAAATTCGTGTAAAAGATGAAAAAAAAATTTTCATCTTTTCCGAAAAATTGCGGCAGCATATTATATGAAATTTATTTCAGTTTCGAAACTACCCCTCAATTCTATGTACGACCATTTGTCGCCGAAATATCGATGATTGAAGACAAAAGGATCCTTTTCCATTAAAAGTCCTATATTTCGATGAAAAATGGTCGTATTGAAATTTAAAAAAAAGGAAATTGAAGCTGAATAAACAAGCTATCTGGTCCATGCAATGGCTTAGCTAAAAAAAATTTTCCAAGTCCGTGGACAAAATTTTTTTGTCGCGCTGTTTCTTAGAATTGCATGATAACCGTAGCTCCTAAAAAATGTTGACCGAAAGATTTAAAAACTAGAATCTTAGAGCTTCAAAATGCTTTTTTTTTAATTCGCGATACGACCATTTTTCACCTAAATACAGTCTGTTAAAAATCACGGAAAAATTTCGGAAATTCTTTTGACCCTTTAATTTTTTGCATTAGTTTATTTTCTAGGATACTATTTTTTGAATTAGCTTAATGCCTAAAAAATATTACGAAGTTGCCAGCTACTTCCGGTGTAACCGGAAGTACTACGTTGGATGCATTTTTTTCATTGAACAGATCATATCTGATAACCCCCGGAAAATGTTATATCTTTAATAGGCCACTTACCGAGAAGAACCCTGTATATTTATAAAAAAGTCGTCTTTTTTTTGGTATCTTTCGAAGAAACCCACCTGGATTGAACCTTCGGCAGGAAGTGAAAGGCTCCCCGGTGTACCCCGGGGGACAGGAACAGACGGGGACGTGATTCCTGGCGTCGCAGTTGGCGTTGGCGCCGCAGGAGCCCGCGCAAACGTCCAGACACTTGCCTGCTTGACAAGTTTGGTGGCCCCTGCACTCGGTGTTGTCCAAACATTCAGCCCTGGCGACAGAAAGGTTATAAACTGACGGATCTTTTTTTTTTACCGCACCAGTTGTTTCCAATGCGGCTTCTTTACCTTGTGCAGACTGAGAGAGGATCTCCAGTGTATCCCCTAAGGCAGGAACATACAGGGCGTCCGCCTATGATGGAGCACTTGGCGTTCTGGCCACACGTGCTGCTGGTGCACGTGCAAGCCGTGCAGGTGATGTCGTACGGGTTGCTGTAGGCCGCTAAAAATTGTATCAAGTTAGAAACTGAGAAATTTTTACAAACGCATCATTAGATGTATTCAAAAATTCTGGTATCCTCCCAATAGTCCAGGGAACCAAGGGTTCACCCTTCGAATTCTTTCGGATAGAACCCATTGACGTGAAACTTGACTGTAAGCAGATAATAGCTCAAGAAACAATAGTGTCGATGAGCGCTTTTGCCCAGGGGGTGGAAAATAAAATATTGAAAATAACCCCAGGAATCGATAAAGCAATTAATTTTAAGCAAAAAGGATCTTATGAACATTTTTGGATAAGTCGATATTTTCTGAGTGAAAATGTACATTTTTTTGTTAAAAAAAGACGTTTTTCAGTAGTTTTTCTCGAATAACTCGGTAAATAGACATTCTGTGAAAAGAAAACTTCACGAAAAAAATTAGAAAAAGAAAAAATTTATTTCATTTATGTTATGTAGGTGCAATAGGTGCTGAGATACGGCTAGTTGAAGATAATTTCATGTCCGCCAGAAATTAAATTGAAAGCATTTAACGTAAAATAACTAAAAATCATTCTATTTTTCAAGAAAAATGCACATAACGTTTTTTAAAGTACTTTAAAAAATCTTTAAAATGAACTTGACTTTAAGTCATTAGCATAAAAATTAACAGAGTTATGACTAAAATAAAACTGTTAATTCGCATTTTCGGAAAAAAAATCAGTACAAAAACTGATGAAATTGTTCACGAGATTTAAAATTAAAGGTAATCCTTCTACAATTTACTTTTTTTATGTGCTAACAATATATTTAACAAGTTTAAGCGGTTTAGAATGCATATTTTTGAAAATATTACGTTTTGTTTGAAAGTTTTTTTTTAATGTCAAAAAGAAGTAACATATTTAAAAACAAAAAAGACGAAAAATATTCAAGAGTACAAAAGTTTGGATTGTTTTTCACAAAATATTTTGTTTTTTTTTTATTTGTGTAGGTCATATTTTTCAAACCCTTTAACCTCAAAAACCTCAAAAATGTGACGTTAAAAAATATTCAATTTTACAGTACTTTTAGCTGTCGAAATTTTCCGTAAAATAGTTTTTGCGTCGTCTTAATAGCTTTAAAATTATGGAAGTTATCGTTAAAAAACCAGCTGTACCTTACCGCTTCAATTTTCGGAGCATATCAATATTTTGGTTATCCACAACTTTGGATCATTCATAGATATAAATAAAATAATATTTGAAAATTTGCATGAAAAAAATATTGAGAAATAATTATTTTGAATATTGCATAAATTAAAGTAAATCGCGAGAAAGTTATTATGAAAAAAAAATTATAATTCATTTTGAATAATTTAAAAGGCTTTTTTATATTTTGTCATTGGGGGTGGTTTTTAAGGGTTAAAACAATGCAATAAATTGTATTGTAAACAGGTAAAAGAATTTAATTTATCCAGTTTGTACTATCAAATTATTTGAAACTGTTAAAACTATTTTTTTTAAATATTTTGTTATTAGTTTTTTAAGGGTTTAAATATTGTAATAAATTATTTATAATACCATAAACCATAGAAAACATTTCTATCTATATACATGCGCTATAAAATTATTTTAAGATCAAAGAAACTATTAATTTTATATTTTTATCATTAAGGGTGGTTTTTAAGGG